TCATGAACCCACGGGCTCAGGCAGTCCACTCACTTCGGCCTCCCAAAGTGGTAGGATTACAGGCTGAGTCACTGAGCCCGGCCTCCTTTTTTTTTTTTTTATTTATTTATTTATTTTTTTTTAAAGTTAGAGTCTTACTCTGTTGCCCAGGCTGGGGTGTGGAGTGCTGTGGCACTTCACGGCCACCGCAGCCTTGACCTGCTGGGTTCAGGTGATCCTTCCACCTCAACTTTCCAGGTTGCTAGAACTACAAACACACGTCACCACACCTGGCTAGTTTTTGTCATTTATTGTAGAGATGAGGTCTCTACAAGTTGCCCAGGCTGGTTTCAAACCCCCAGGCTCAGGCATTCCACTCGCCTCGGCCTCCCAAAGTGCTGGGATTATAAACTGAGCAACCGCACCTGGCCTGTGCTTTTCTTTTTGCTTAATAATATTTCCTTAAAATCAAAATCACTCTATTCTCAGTCCATAGAGATATTCCTTATTATTTTTGTCACTCTGACGCCCAGTCTGGAGTGTGGGATGTTTACGGCCACCACAGCCTCAACCTGCTGATCTCGGGTGATCCTTCTGCCTCAGTGTCCTGAATAGCTGAGACTACAGGCGCTCACTACCATGCCCTGCTAACTTTTTTTTTTTAATGTAAAGATGAGATCTTGACAAGTTGCCTAGGCTAGTCTTGAACCCCTGGGCTCAGGCAGTTCACTCATCTCTTTCTCTCAAAATGCTGGGATTATGGGTGCGAGCCACTGTGCCTGGCTGCTGCTTCTTTTTTTATAGCTCTTTCTCTCTTCACTCAGTCATTCTCTCACACACGCACACACACGCACCATGGTTTATGGTCATTAAATAGATTCCAGTGTTTTACAAATTAGGATATTGCTACAGTGAAAAATTCTGTGCATATGTACTTTTTAAATGGAAATGTATTTCAGGGTAAGTCACTAGAAATGGGATTGCTAGGTCAGAGGATAAACTTACATGTAGTTTGTTAGACGTTACCAAAATCCCCTCCAGAGGCATTATACAGTATGGTGATATTCTATCATTACTTTTGCATTTATTTGATGGAATAATTGTATAAAGAGGAATTTCTTATCTACATGGTTAGCCATTAGTATATATTTTGTAGGAAAAGTAGGGTATAAACTTGATTCTCTTCTGTTTACCAGTTTTCAAAATAATCGATTCATTGTAACATTCTTCGACAGTGACCAGTTAGTCATGTCCTTTTTAAAAAAGTATCAGTATGAACTTACATATTTGAATATATTTGTGGTTTAATGCATTGCACTTATCTTTATTGATGCGCTAGTTTCATTTTTGGCCAGTGAGAACTTTGTTTAGTTGGCTCCTGCATTCTTTTGATATGACACTAGTGGTGTCTGATAGATTGCTTGCTCACAGAGATGACAGATCTTCTAACTTATCTTGTACATTCCATGCTCTAGTCTTGGCATCAGTCGTTTCCTCAGTGTACCCAGTTGCTTTTTTAAATTTTGAGTTGGCGTCTCCCTCGCCCAGGCTGGAGTGCAGTGGCACTCTCAGGCTACCCCAGCATCGATCTGCTGGGCTCCAGCAATCCTTCTGACTCAACCTGCCAAGTAGCCGGAACTATAGGCGCATACTACCATGCCCGGCTAATTTTTTATTTATTGTAGAGACGAGGTCTCACCAAGTTGCCCAGACTGGTTTCGAACCCCGGGACTCAGGCAGTCCACTTGCCTTGGCCTCCCAAAGTGCCGGGATTACAGGCTGAGCTACCGAGCCGGTCCCCAGTTGCTGTTAATAGAAAGTAGTATCTGGAGATCACATTCAGGTCACTAGGGATTTTCTTTTCTTCTGGGCAAGCCAGAGGATTCTGAAGTGTAGAATTATTTTGGAGCATAAAGCAGTGTGGTATTTAGCCAAAAGATTTAGAGTGCGAGTCAGTTCCTCTGTTCATTCCTTCATCAACTATTTATTGATTTTGATATGGCTTGCATTGAAAAAAAGTTACTGAGTATCTGCCATGGCTAGGCACTCTTTTATGAACTGGAGCCTGCGGTCTAGTTAACCCAGGATTCTCGTTGTAACTGGTGCTAATGATGTTGGTCAACACCTTGCCTTTGGTCTTTCCTCATTGATAAGATTGTAAAATAGTACTCAGTGGTCTGTAGTGTTTTCGGTTGAAAAGTTAATAATTCTTCCATGCTCATTCAATGTTTGTGGTGTTCCTCCCTCTCTTTTCCTTGTCTTCTTACAGAGATGACAGAAGAAGAACAGTTTGCTCTGGCTCTCAAAATGAGTGAGCAGGAAGCTCGGGAGGTGAACAGCCAGGAGGAGGAAGAAGAGGAGCTCTTGAGGAAAGCCATTGCTGAAAGTCTGAATGTAAATATGAAAATGTTTGTGGAGATTGAGCCATAGTTTTTACTTCTACAATGTTACAGTTGCATTAGGAACAAGCTGTAGTCATTTACAGGGTTTTCGTCTAACAGATATTTCTCATAATAAATTTTTTTTTTTTTTTTGAGTTGGAATCTCACTCCATTGCCCAGACTGGAGTGCAGTGGCCGCTCCTGGCCACCGCAGTCTCGACCTGCTGGGCTCTGGCGATCCTTCCACCTCAGCCTTCCAAGTAGCTGGAACTACAGGCGCGTACTACCACGCCCGGCTCATTTTTTGATTTATTGTAGAGATGAGGTCTCGCCAAGTTGCCCAGGCGGGTCTCGAACGCACAGGCTCAGGTAATCCACTCACTTCAGCCTCCCAAAGGTGCAGGATTACAGGCTGAGCCACCGAGCCCGGCTTCTCATAATAATTTTTAATGTCCTTGTTGAATTCATGGTTAACACAGTTTGAAGTGTTTTTAATTCTATGTGAAAGTTTACTCCATGGGTTTTTCAGTCCATGCTTAAAAGAACTCTAGTAAATTGGCAGCTTCTGAAAAGAGTTTCTGAATAACCAAGAACCCAAAGGAGAGTAAATGAAGATGCTTACCTCTTCTGTTTGGTGGGGAGAGCAGAGGGAATGAGACCTCTATAGAGGTGGGTTATAGAGAGAAGAATGGGCAGTTGAAAAATTAATCAAATAATATTAAAAACGTTAAGTTGTGATCTGAGTATGCACATGAAAAGACTCTGGATTTGAGGGATTTTGGCCAGAGCAGGTCCCGAGCTGTCCTTCATGCTGCTTGCTTATGTGCTTTAGAAAAGGGCTTAAGACAGTGATCTGGTGGGACGCCTGCACGAGGGCACTCAGTAGCCGTTGTGGAATTGGTTGAATTGAGCGTTCACATTTTGGAGAAGAGAAGCTCTGAGGGACATCAGTCTCCCCTTTTTGTCCTTCCTTGTGACCCTTTATGTGTCGCTATTGGAGTAATAAACCTGTCTGGCGTGGGATTGCTTGTTTCAGAGTTGCCAACCTTCTGATGCTTCTGCTGCCAGACCTCAACCTCTGCCCACTGGACGGCCCTCACAGCCCCACCAAGAGAAAACCACAGACTCTGGGACCACGAAAGGCATGTCTCCCTGTTCTGATTCCTCACACTCCTCAAGTATAGCCATGTCATGTCTCATCCTGAGAGAGTAGATGTACAAAAATGCTCAAATCCCTTTGGTGATGTTAAAGAGCTTAAATCAGAAAGTAGTTGAGACTTCACCAATATCCAGTACACCTTTATCTCTAAGGAAAAAACCAGCATTTGGTTAGGCCCAAAGAAGAGCCTTTCTCGCCCAAGTTTGTAATTCTTGGCAAGCAATCGCTTGCCAAGCCCCCTAATAAAAAAGTTTGTCCTTAGCCCTACTTTTTCTCAAACACCTGCAGGCACATGGCAGCTGGTTCCTCCATCTCTGTTTAAAGGCTCACATGTCAGTCAGGGAAACGAGGCTGAGCAGAGAGAGGCGCCTTGGGACCACACTGAGAACGCTGAAGAGGAGCCGGGCTCCGGCAGCTCAGCAAGCTGGGACCGGTCAAGCCAGCCAGTGCTTGAGAACGAGAACGTTAAGCGTTTGGGCAGATGTACTGGCCACTTGGCTGAGCACACCCAGTGTGGGAAGCCGCAGGAAAGTACTGGGCGGGGCTGTGCTTCTCTCAGAGCTGACCAGGGTAGAGGGGACACGTCTAGTCACAGTCTGCCCACCCCAGCAGACGCCAAAGGTCTCCAGGACGTTGGGGGCACCGTGCACTACTTCTGGGGTGTTCCATTCTGCCCTGCTGGAGTAGACCCGAACCAGTATACTCAGGTCATTCTCTGCCAGTTGGAGGTTTATCAGAAGAGCCTAAAAATGGCTCAGAGACGGCTCTTAAAAAAAAAAGTGTTTGGGGAACCAGTGTTACCTAGACCTCCTTCTCTGATCCAGAATGAATGTGACCAAGAAGAGCAGGCTAGTGAAAAAAATGAAGGCATCTCAGAAGCTATGGGAGCTGAAGACAAAGAGGAGAGGCAGGAGTCTAGGGCATCTGTCTGGCACTCGAAAGCCAAGGACTTCCACGAAAGCCCAGTGGAAGGCTTGAAAGAGGACCTTTTGTTGGAGGAAGAACCAACAACCAGTTGTGGTCAGGTAAGGGTCTGTGATGCTTTAATTAAGGATTACTTATTTATAGATCAAACAAGGGTTATCTTAGCTATTCTTTTTTTTTTTGAGTTGGAGTCTCACTCTGTCGCCCAGACTGGAGTGCAGTGGCCGCTCCCGGCCACCGCAGCCTCGAGCTGCTGGGCTCCGGCAATCCTTCCGCCTCTGTCTTCCGAGTAGCCGAAACTACAGGCACACACTACCACGTCCGGCTAGTTTTTGATTTATTGTAGAGACGAGGTCTTGCCAAGTTGCCTGGGCGGGTCTCGAACCCGCAGGCTCAGGCAATCAACTTGCCTTGGCCTCCCAAAGTGGAATTACAGGCTGAGCCACCGAGCCCGGCCTATTTTAGCTATTCTTTTGGTGTTTTTTCCCCAATTATTGCAGTAATACACGGTCACTATAGGAAGTTAGGAAAGTACAGGAGAGTATAAAGAAGAGAAAAGTCACTTATAATCCCAGCACCAGGAGGCAGTCATTATTTCTATGCTTATAAAAATACATTTGAAGCCGGACTCGGTGGCTCAGCCTGTAATCCTGTGCCTTTGGGAGGCTGAGGTGAGTGGATTGCCTGAGCCCGCGGGTTCAAGACCCTCCTGGGCATCGAGACCTCATCTGTACAATAAATCAAAAAGTCAGCCGGGCATGGTAGCGCATGACTGTAATTCTGGCTACTTGGAAGGCTGAAGCGTAAGGATTGCCGGAACCCAGCCGGTCGAGGCTGCGGTGGCCGGAAGCGGCCACTGCACTCCAGTCTGGGCGACAGAGTGAGACTCCAACTCAAAAAAAAAAAAAAACTTTTGAACAAAATGAAGATTCTTCCATATAAGCTTGTTCCTTTCCCCTACTTTTTATTTTATACTAGTTTGTTTCCTGTCTATTAAGTATACTTGAAAACCTAATATATATTATTATAGTCTATCATGGATATACTATAATTTGGTTTTCTTTTTGCAGTTTTTATTCTAAAAAATTAAGTTTTTGAATAAGTAATATGTCCAAATATCTCAAAATTCAAAAAAGATATAAATAAAAAGTTTATCTCTTATTTTCATTCCCCGGCCAATTAGTTCCTTTCTAGACTCAATCTGTGTTACTAGTTTCTGGTATATCTTTCAAAGATAGTTTATGTAGTATAAACATTATATGTATTTGTTTCCCATGTTATTTTATGCAAGTAATATATACATTACTCTGTACTTTGCTTTTTTTTTTTCATTTAGTATTCCAGTGAGATTATTCCATAACAGTACATTAAAAAGTTCTTTATTTGTTTTCTTGGATGTGGAATATACCATGTGTGACTTGAGTCATAGTTCATTTTATCTAGTGCTCTATTGGTAGACATTTAGGTTGTTTCCAGTATTTTTACTTTACAAATAGTACTACAGTGATTACTCTTGTACAGAGGATGTTTCATCCACTTAGAAGATATCTGTAGGATAATTATCTATAGATATAATTGATGGATCAAAGGATATATGCAGGCCGGGTGCGGTAACTCACGCAGCTAAAATCCCAGCACTCTGAGCCTATGGGTTCAAGACCAGCCTGGGCAACTTAGTGAGACCTTATCTCTACAATAAGTCAAAAAATTCGCCGGGCATGGTGGCGCATGCCTGTAGTTCCAACTATTTGGAAGGCTGAGGTGGGGGGATTACCTGAGCCCTGCAGGTCGCTGGGAGTGTGCCACTGCCCTCTAGTCTGGGTGACAGAGTGAGACTCCCACTCAAAAAAAAAGGAAAGAGACATATGCATTTACAAGTTTGTTAACTGTTGCCAAATTGCCCTCCATAGAGGTTGTATACATTTACTCTCCCACTGGCAACATATGAATACTAGTTTCTTCATACCCACACAATGCAATTTTGCCAGACTTCTTGAACTTGGCCAGTCTGAGAGATGAAAAATGATATCTTAATGTAGTCTTGATTTGCATTTCTTTTATTATTTGTGAGGCTGAATTTTTTTCGTGTGTCTAAGACCCATTTGTATTTTTTTTTTTTTGAGTTGGAGTCTTACTCTGTCGCCCAGACTGGAGTGCAGTGGCATGCTCCTGGCCACCGCAGCCTCGACCTGCTGGGCTCTGGCGAACCTTCCACCTCAGCCTTTCAGGTACCCAGAACTACAGGCGCGTGCTACCATGCCTGGCAAATTTTTGATTTATTGTAGAGACGAGGTCTTGCCGAGTTGCCCGGGCGGGTCTCGAACCCCTGGGCTCAGGCAATCCACTCACCTTGGCCTCCCAAAGTGCTGGGATTACAGGCTGAGCCACTGAGCCCGGCGTGTATTTTTTATCTGTTGAGATCTTATGGTCACTTTTGTTTTTTAAATTATCTCTTTTTTTAGTGGCTTGTAGGTATCTCTGTATATTAGGAAAAGTGATCCTTTGTGATATGAAGCACAGATAGTTTCCCAGTTTATTTTTCTCCTCACATAATGATATATTTCTGATTTTGTTTGTGGTGGTTTTGTATAATTTATTGAAATTTATCTCCATTTTTGGGACATTTAGGTTGCTGTTTTAGATGTTTTCTGACATAGCTAGATTGTGTGATATATGAAAACTTATATTTTATTTTTCTCTTTCTGATGATCATAAAAGCAATAAAATAATTACAAGCTCTTTATAAACGATAATTTTAAAAAATATTCTGTTTTATGACTGTACTGTTTGAGTCGGAGTCTTATCACTCTGTCCCTCAGACTGGAATGCAGTGACATGCTCGTGGCTCCCGCAGCCTCAACCTCCTGGGCTTGGGGGATCCTTCCTCCTGAGCCTTCCAAGTAGTTGGACCTACAGGCATGCACCACCATGCCCGGCTAATTTTTTTTAGTTTTTTATAGAGACAAGATTTTGCCATGTTGCCTAGACTTGTCTTGAACCCCCAGGCTCCGGCAATCCGCTCGCCTCCTCCTTTCAAAGTGCTAGAATTATGGCCATGAGCTCCCACACCCAACTCTACTATGTTTTGTTGCTTTTTTGTTACTGGATTTTGAGGTTTTGGGTTGGGTTATTCTGTCTCATATGGTAAAGGTTCGAGAATTGGTAGCTCTGAGAAGCTTCATAGAATAATATGGAGAGCATGGATTTGGAGTTAAATTTTGACTTTTGTATAATTGTATGTCTTTGAGCAAGCCATTTAACCAGGATTTCAGTTTTACATCTGTAAAATGGGAATAGCAATTCCTGTCTTTCAACAGTTGTTTTAGTGACTGAGGTGAATTTGTGTAAAATGCTTATTATAATCCTTAGGCACTCAACAAATGGTAGTTCTGTTCTCCCTAAGGGACTGAAGGTCATTATTTCCGGTGCCTTTAAGGATCCTTCTTTCCTAATAACTTTCTTCATTCACATTCTAGAAAGATTGTTGTGTAGGAAGAGAAGGCTTTTTTTTTTTCTTTTTTTGGAGTCA